GGGCGGATGGATGAATAGCTAGATGAGTGTGTATGAGGAGCGACGGATACAGGGTGTGTATAGGAAGGGAGAGAGAGAGAGAGTGGGAGTGTATGAGAAAGAAAGAAAGAAAGAAAGAAAGAAAGAAAGAAAGAAAGAAAGAAAGAAAGAAAGAAAGAAAGAAAGAGTATGTTGAATGGATAGCTGGATGGGTAGAGAATTTCCAAATCACACCCGATGAGTTTCCCGGGCTGTTGCTATGTGGCTTTCCGATTGTCAGTCACCGTGGAGGGAACTGAGTTGGGTAAATGGCGCCTGTTAGGGGGTTTATCCCATCACCCTCTCGCTTCCCTGGTCCTTCTGGTGGGAACAGAGAACAGCCGGACCTGCAGCCCAGCGATGCAAACAACTGGATGTTTGCTGGGATTAGCAGCTTCCTTTGCTTTTTTTCCTTTGGTTTTCCCCTTTGGTTTTCCCCACTCACTCCCGGTGTGTCCCTAATACCGATCCCACTAGTCCCAGCTCACCCTTAACCACTCATGCTACTGACATGTAACTTACCAACCCCATATAAAGCCACATGATTATCTAACCAGCTACACCCCGCCACCTTCATTGGCTCACCCCCAGCAAAATGAATTATGCAGGCGAGCCAGCCACGAAGCCAGCCAGAGAAACAAGTGCAGGGGGCAGATGGGGGGCCCTGGCCAGGCAGTCAGCTCCCAGCCTACGTTTCAGCGACTGGTTGAAAGGCACCTTCCCTCCTAGGTTTGGCTTCGCTCTTGCACAGGCCTTTCCTGGCAGGCCAGCAGAGCTAGGTCCTAGCAGCGCCTCCTAGGGGCTGTGCAAGGAGCAGCTGGTCCCTTCCTAGTGGGCAAACCTGCAGCAGAGGGATCCATGGACTCCAGGCAGTCGGAGCGGGCACTCGGGGGCGCGGTGCTGTGGCACCGCGGCGCAATTGGGGTTGTTCTCCTTTCTCCACCCACTGGGGGGCTTAGTGAACAGCCCTCAGGGCAAGTACAAGGTGCCCCCCTCCGCATGCCCGGGTATGCGCCAGGGGCCCCAGCAAAGCTCCGAGCTGGCGGGCCAGAGGGGGAACAGAGGGACGTGAAGTCATCTGATCCAGTGCCATGGGACCCAGGAGTTCTGGCTCTCTCCCAGCCCCGCTGCTTGACCCCAGTCCCCTCCCAGGGCTGGGGATAGAACCCAGGCATCCTGACTCCTAGCTCCGCCCCTCCCGTTCTCTAACCACTAGACCCCACTCCCTTTCCACAGCCCCCACCCTGCTTTTACACACTAGACTCCGCTCCCCTACCAGAGCCAGCCATACAGCCCAGAGGGTGCGGAGCTGAATACCAGGCAGCATGATGCCTTGTCACCTACCGTCAGCAGTAGTAGGGCTGTTACCTTGCCCAGAGGCCTGGTGGTGCTCAGGGAGCAACTCCCCCCAAGGTCGGCGGGTGTAGAGCTGTGCTCCTCTCCGCAGGACCAGTATGAGCTGTACGCGGTGGAGATGGAGAAGCAGGACGACGGCGCCATGGACGTGAAGATCAAGAAGAAGAAGACGACCAAGGCGGCGAAGAAGAAGGAGAAGCTGGAGAACATGAAGAAGGAGATGGACGTGGTGAGTGGGGGCAGCGGGGCGGGGGCTGGGCCTTGCACAAGGCTCGGTCGCTCATGCCGCTGGCAGCAGTAGTAGAGCTGTTAGCTTCTGCCGGGAGCTAGAGGCAGCTAGATCACCCCCTTCTAGAGCAATCGGCTCTGGCTCCCGGCAGACCCAGGCAGCTCCGCTGTGTCGGTCACGCTGGGGGAAACTGCCCCGCTCCCACCGATGGGTCCAGGCTCTCGGCCGACCCAGGCAGTCGGCATGTCGGTCACATGTGGGGCAGCCCATTCACTGCCTCCGGGCTCCCTTCTCTCCCCTAGGATGACCATCAGCTCTCCGTGGAAGACCTGGAGCTGAAGTACCAAACCAGTGTGAGCAAGGTAAGCAGAGCCGAAACGAAGGTTTTCTGCGCCTGGAGCAGGCTACTGAACTGCCCCTCCCCCCCAAAAAATGATAAAATTCTATTTTTTGGTATTAATTTTATTCATTGCACATGTTGTTAATTGCACATCTCTTGAGATTGCAAATAGACGACAGTGATGGTATAAACGAAATAGTATTTTAACTTTCTCATTTTTAATTTTGCGCCCCTAAATGTTCTGCACCTGGGGCCAGTGCCCCACTTGCCCCACCCCTGTTATGGCTCTGAAGGTAAGGGCCCCCAAGACGGAGGCCGGGTGGGGCCGTGTCTCTCAACCCAGCCCCCAAGACGGAGGCCGGGTGGGGCCGTGTCTCTCAACCCAGCCCCGGGGGCCATCTACCTCCCAGGCCCCCCTCCACTAGACTGCAGCACATCTTCTCCAGCTGTGCCCCCGTGCCCGATTGCAGCTGTGCCTCAGGGCAGGGGGCTCCCTCCTTCAACCCCCCCAGGAGGTCGGAGACAGTGTCCCCGGGGCTGTGAGCTTCCTCAAGGCAGTGCCCCAGCCAGCTTTAGGGGCCATCTCCAGAGCTGTGAGCTTCCGCCCCTGCTGAGGTGAGAGGGACGCCAGAGTTGTGAGCTTCCCTAGAGCAGTGCCCCAGGCAGAGGCAGGAAGCATTCACGCTACTGTTCTCCGCCCGCGCTGGGCACTCAGGCCGTCTGCCAGCCCAGGCAGGCACCAAGCAGCTGGCAGCGAGGGCTGGGACCTGGCTTCATTGAGCTCCTGAGTCGTTCACCTGACTCCAGGGGCTGGGGCCTTGGACCTCCATCCGGCCCTGGGTGTATGGCCGGCCACGTGGGTGGACAAAGACAATTCTGGGGATCCTGAAAACACAGCCCGCGCTGGGCACTCAGGCCGTCTGCCAGCCCAGGCAGGCACCAAGCAGCTGGCAGCGAGGGCTGGGACCTGGCTTCATTGAGCTCCTGAGTCGTTCACCTGACTCCAGGGGCTGGGGCCTTGGACCTCCATCCGGCCCTGGGTGTATGGCCGGCCACGTGGGTGGACAAAGACAATTCTGGGGATCCTGAAAACACACCTGGCTCCCACCCCCCCTAATAGCCCCGCCCCTACACGGT